CATCAAACAGAACGGCCCCCCCCCCCCCCCACGACCGCTGCACGTATGTAGATTCTCGTTAAAAAGACTAACAGGATTGCTCCCTCCGTGGTTTCTTAAAGAAACACTGGTCAAAATCAAAACAATCCGATTAAGTTTGTTCGACATAAAGTAATCAAGTCAAGTAAAGCTTTATGCACCCAATAGGATGAATTTTCAGGAATTCCGACAAGTTACAATGAAGAAAACGTTAATCACTGAAAAATTAGGAAATACACAATTACTAAATGAAAAACCAATGAATGTGATAAAATTTTACTGTGACAGATGATCATTCAAGTCAGTGATAATATTTGCTCGATTAACCAAGATACGAGCGAAATAAGGGATGATGCTGTTTTTATATGTGGTGGTGCGTACACAAAGAATGCTAAAACTAGAAGGCGTACTCGGAGGAGATACCGATTTATTGAGATAAGCATGCAGGCAGTGATCTTCAGTGGACAGTATACGGCTGATAAATCTATCGCATGAATCACAATAAAGTCAACCAAAGCGGTCTTTGAAATGCCACTGCAACGGGAAGAAAGTTTAAGAGATCTGGAAAGGAGAATAAAGTCGTTCTCCTTTAAACCAGAGAAATATACTGGTTGATGTATCGAGAACATCGAAAGGTCCCGGGGAATTTCGGTTGTGCCCGTACACAAGTACTGTACTATCTATAAAAACAGATGACATTTCTGATTTCTATTGTACCGGCGTTTCATGATTATTAGGCACAGGGTGTGACAATTATTAAACAATGGTGATTAAGTTTGTTAATGAGCAGAGCAAATAATCCCCTCGAAATCTGACGCATCATCCGTGACACCCGATATTTCCAGCGGGAATATTTCGAGTATAACTCGTATTTTTTCCCAGTCTAGATCGGTCAATCAAGACGGCTAAGTGGTTTGCGATGTTGAAAAAAAAACTAAATGTTTCGAATGGAAAGAACAACGTTTCTCCGGTCAGATAGGTTAAAAATTTGTTTCCAGTGCATATTTGTAGTGGAGCTGTGGCGTAAACTTGATAGCCGACCAAGTCTTTTATGTGTACTTGATCAACTCATTCAATTAACTTGCAAATCGGACTAAGGGAATATGAAGAAAGAGAATACCAAAATGAATGGCATGGTAATTGATTACCTTAGGGTAACAAGTAGGGCGTGTTGTTGTTGGGTCCGTTCAAGATTCAGACTTACTTTTGTCCTCGGCAAATAAAGTTTCCGCGTTGTCAATTAGCAGGTGAACAAGTCTGATACCCGGACCACTTTGTTGCAAAAAATCCAAAGACTTGACTCTGAAATAAAAAAAGGCGTATGCTCCAAATCAGAATCCACAATTTTTGGTCTGAACACCCTAACACACGTGAGTTTTGTGAGCCTACCTATTGATAAAAGTGTTTTTCTTTCCAGGAGTGCATCCGCTAATCCTGTTTGAATAATGACCGCCAAGAGGCATGCTATCATGCAACGTGTTCATCGTACTTTGTTACCATCAATTGACGGGTCTTGTGATACCGGGAAGTTGCAGCAACAGAGTCAAGAATGGATGCATGACATGTTTTAGTATCGGTTGTATTCCAGTTTCAGTTTTCACAACCATTAACCATACACTTTCGTGTACCGGTTTTGGTTGCTGTATTTTGGTCGTCCATTTCAATAAAACAAAAGAGTCAAAGTGAAGATATAGAACTCACATGGAGTGGTGCTACAGGAATAATGAACGGATGCACGAGTGTAACTGTTTGTGATACCCAACTAAATCAGTTAGTTTGAAAAGAAAAGACCATATTGCAATACTGCACGATTTATGTCCAGGACGATTTCGCTGCATCTCAACATGGTGCATACTGCAGAAAATACAGTGTTTATATGGGGTTTTAGCATAGCAACAGAGTGAGGCAAAATACATTAAAAACAGACAAAACATAAAAGAGGGAGGGGTAAAAGGACCATATCACCAGGGTAGGGAGAGACTAACATACAGTTCTTTTTGCTGGCACAGGGGGGGGGCTTCTATCGATTAATCGCAATTGCTTCAGCAAACCTTAGCAATCTTGCGACTTGTAGACAAGTTGAAACGCTGTGCTTCGGTCGACGTGGTGTTGCGTCATCAGCAGATGTCGAGCAATGGCTGAGGACGGAGTTTTGTAGTTTCGACCGTCGTTTCAATGCGGCGGATTTGACCTCAATTGGGTCAACTGATATTGGACCCAATTTGGAATATGTTCCACCACTCGATTGTGTAATTGTCGCTCTGTTCGGCCCACATAG